CGATCCCCTCCCCCACCGCCCGCCTAGCTGCGACCGGCCCGGTCCCAGTTTGCCGCAACGCGTCGATCCGGTTGCCCGCGCGCCGTAACAAACATTTTTACCATTGCTACCTCATCACGCACAACGTTTTCCAACGCACAAAACAATAAAAACGGCTCCTTTGAACCCGACGGTGGGGACTCGAGGGTCCCGTACAGTAAAATTGATAGGAGAAGTGGAAACCATGCAAACAAAACTTATAAGTGGAAGCTACACGTCCATCATGAACAAGCAAGATCTGCTCAGAGAGGTCGTCGTGAAGTACATAGACTACTTCTACCCCGTGTGAGTACCGTTAAATTTTTTCGTTTTGTCTGCAACGTTTTGTTAAGCTGACGCATTGCGGGCCCGTCGCTGGCTGTTGGTCGGCCAAGTGACGGTGGTGTGAAGGTTCTCACACAGCACAGCTAATTACCGAGCCGGTAAGTCGGTGAAGGTTCCACGGCAACGTGGCCGGCTGCAGACAGACAAACCGTTGCGCCTGACGTCAGCGCCGCCTACTGAACATAGGTGTCCCTATGGCTTGACTACTGTATCGATCCGTTGCACTAAACACCATTATTATTCTTAAGGTCTAGGTCCGCTTTATTGCCATTTTCAACCTTGCGTCTTTTGAATTTTGTCCGTTGAACCTGCCCCTGCACCACCGACACTCGCTCATCAGACGTTGAACCTTCTTGTTTAACTCATTCACTTTTTATTTTTAGTTGCCACCAGGATCTTCCGATGACTAATATCTTTTCACGGCCTTAAGCAACCACGCGTTAAGTGCATAATTTCATTTATTTGTGTTAAAACTATAAATATTTTTTATGGCTTACGGCGATTTGGTAATTTGATTCAAGACTGAATTAATTATGATGCTAGGCCAGGGCGATAATACCGTTCATAATTAAGTCATTCATAATATCAGCAGTGTTTTATACAATCCTAGGGAAAGCACCGTTGCGTGACCGTTTCGCGTGACAAACACTGACTACCAGCACATTATGCTCCTAGTGTCCCACTAATGCCCTTTGTGTCCAATTGGTTTTAGTGTTCACTCCTACCCACCATTGTTCTTTATGGCACGTGAAGGCAACTTCAGCTGTATTATTTCACGTGATTCAAGTTTATGGCTAGGCTTCTAAACCACTATATTTCGCAAAACGTTTATACTTCCCCCACAATCAGCTTCAGTCATAAATTCTATCGTCCATGTAACTAACAATTCGTTCAATTGAATTTATACAACCTACCACTCATTTCTTTGCGCTAATTGAAAGGAACTGTGAGTGTGTTATGAAACACGACTGCAAGATGTAACGCCAGAGCCGCTGGCGCCAGCCATGTCGACACTACACCCAACGATTTCCCTTCAATGACCTTGCGCGTGCGCACTCGCCTCGCTACACGATAACAATACACGACCACACTGCTCACCGATAATGCTGATAATCCCTATTACTATAAATGTAATTTACAATTCCAAAAGACCGAACGTGTAGATTGTGCACGCAATTTCTTTGAATAGTGATGATCACTTAATAAAACGCAAATGTTAGCCAAGCAATTCGATTCAATAGAGCTGATTCAAATTGTCAACAGTTAAACTAATTGACTACTATCTGACGAATACCGGTAGTGGACAAACAATGTGCGCTTTAAGTGTTCATGACTAACACATTCAAATTTCATGCCACTCGCATAATTTCTTCAGTGACCTTTGTTTTCTAGTTGGTATTGTTGTACGACTAAACAGCGCAATTGTTTGGTGCATCATGATTCATCGGACTTATACAAATTTTGATACTGTTATCATTGCAATGTTTTCTTTGACGTCTGACACTTATGAGTACGTGATTATTGACATGTGCTCTTGATGGTCTATCTTTTCTCTATTGTTTAGTATTTTCATTTATTTATTTATTTATTTCTTCTTCACCATAGTTAGCACTGAATGGCAGACTTAATGCCTTAAGGCATTCTCTAACAGTCAACCATAGGGAAGTGCAGAGAAATGAAGCGGTTGATGCAAAGCCAACTTTTTGTACCACTTGGTACACAACATTTAGTATGAATAAATAGTAATTCCTCCAACTTCGAGAAATCAAATGTGTTCTCCTAAAATGCTAATCGAGACCTCTTCTGGATATGGCAGTATTGAAAATAGATTTGAATAATGTAACATGTGCACATTTTCCACAAATAAAATCGATAACTGATGTAAATTCATTTAAACGTTTACTTGCTCAATCTTCGTCGTTCGCCGTCTCTGGCTCGTAAATACGAATCTTGTGTTTCTTAACAAAAGATTTCCATTAAACCAGTTTGGTAATTCACTAAACATGAAGCAGCATCAAGCGGGGCAGATGTTATTTTCATCCTGATCATAAAAATAAAAATGAGGCATTATTGTTTTTGCTTATTATAACGAAAATCTTAAAGGTTCTTTTGTTCTGCCATGAAAGTCTTGAAAAACTGTCGCGTCTTTGTTCGCGAGACGTGTTTGAATTGCAGTAGAGTTGAGTGTAGTCTACGCAAACACGCACGTGCGTAGTGACAAAACGTTTATCTCTTTGTTTGCATCTACTATTTACTTAACATCTTTTAAACACATTTTCATTTATGTTCTGTTTCAACACTCGTGTTCATATATCCAGTACAGTGTATCCAGTTTCTCCATTAGCGATAAGAGTGCGATAAATGAATAAACAACAGGTTTTTGGTGTATCAAATATGAGTCTAGAATAGTATTTTTTGACTCATATTTTCAAACTGTTATGTGAAGAGAGAAACTGTCTTCAAAATAAGCTTGTATCTGCTGTCTGAAGAATAGAGCCAACCAGAAGAGTTTTTTTTGTCAACTTTTTCGGTTATAAAAACGTGAAAGTCAAAACAGGCAAGCTTGTGATAATATTAGACAGGAGATTTATTTATGTGAGATTCGTTCAGTTTGGAACAGTATAATGAGCTGAGTTCTGTTGATTTCATAATTATCATCGTTTAGCATTGATCTTGACGGAGAAATGTCGTCATCGTCACCTACACTTTATACTTTCTCCGCTTCTTGGGTTTCGCTGTCTTATGTTACAACTTTTTCATGCACCTCTACACCGGTGCCTTGCAATTTTGTCAACTCCTCAAACTTGCGTAATCACTCACAGAATACTAAAACTTGTTATTGTAGAGTTCCGCCTAGAGAAAGCAAGTTTTTATTGTGTGTCAACACCCGTATTAGATTTAAGACTTTCAAAGATTATCTTGGAATCGGCCACTATTTACATAATTACCTCTTTGCACCGCATATACGGTTGGAACGGCAGACGTTAATGTTCCGGCAGTCCATTGTTGCGGTGGTGGTCATGTGGTCCACGGCCGTTGTTTTATGTCGGGGAGCTCGATGGCGAACCGGTCGAAATCGATCCGCGACGCGGTCCTCAACGGTCGAATGGCTTCAACTTTAACGTTGTGTTGTTCACCTCGTTGACGCGACACGGAATCCGTCGGAGAAAGTCAAGTACGCAGCCGTACGTCGTGCTACATACTAGCTACTGGACGATTACACCAGCGAGATTGGATCATAATGGGTAAGTCCGGCAATCGTAGCCAGTAATGGTATCTCTCCAGTTGCTAAGTAGAGTGTGTCGTCATTCTCGCGCTGCACGTGGCCGACCGCCGCGTGCTGAGCTCGTGACACGTTGCATTTGTGCACCATTGTTTTGCTGCATTCGGTACAATTACAAATAATGGTTGCACCGTCATGACAGAATTATGTACAAAATGCAACTTGACATTTACTGTTACCCACGAGAGAGGTTTTAGACCTCGACGATGGTTCGCTGACTTGTAACGTTACATCGTTTAAATTAGCTTATTTTTCTCGAATCTTACTCGGCGGCCGGCTGTCTGTACGAATCGATAGAGGTTTGTAGGTCAAGTGTCCACATCTGGCGAGTGAAGACGTATTTCTTAATTTTTACCTCAAATTATGTCTAGGTGATTGTTTATGACACTGCTCTCCATTCTAGCTGCAAGTACATATGAGTTTGCAACTACAATCGAGGTAATAGGCTACGGGCCACACCAGAATTTAGTCCTCCATTGTTCCCTGTTGTTGTTACAAATACCGCACAGTTCAACAGGCGGTCAACGCTTTTGCAATATTTATCCACAGCGTTGTATGTTAGCGTAATCATCCGCGGTGCAACCGACGGAAGCTTTTCTTAAAATTACCGGCCCATGCTTATTTATTACAGTAATAAGTAATTACATATTGAATGTGCATTATCTTGGAATACGATCGCCCTTGCGCCACCTTTCCATTGCACAAACACCAATACTTACTAACGTCCGCAGTAATTGTACTGTGACGTACGCACATTGTCGGTTGAGGCGTTTTTAAAACGTGAAAGCGTTTCGATACAACGACTAATTTAGCATTCCGACGCACCGATAGCACAATCAACTTGTCGTCAACATAAACAATAAATCTTCGTGCAACATCGTTTAAAACAGACATCTTTCCTCAGACAAAGGCGTGCGTATAGTAAATCGATTGCTTTGCGGAAACTAACTATTATATGGGAAATGTAGACGTGAGCGTTGTACGCGTAAATTCTTGTATTTGCCAGGACGGTGCTCATCCGTGCGTAAATAAATTATTCGAACATGATTATGGCACTGGGTTTCCGCATCCCGAAATCTTGAACGGAACCTTCTTCACGTATCTATTATACCAGTCTACAAAGCATTAATTGGAGTTATTATTAGCTAATATAAATATATAACAAACTACTTAATTTATTAATTGTTTTGTCTACCACGTGTGCTAGAAATGCTGCGTCACTCAGTTCTTTGGTATTCAGTTTTGTAAACAATCGCGTCGTGCGATATGACTCATGTGTAAAGCGTACCTTTAACTTTTTGTCGTTTCTTTGTAGTAAATACATTTTCTTATTGTATTTTCCTTTTTGTTACAGCGCATCGGGCACAAGCGCGGTGGCCATCGACAACAAGATCGAGCAAGCAATGGTGAGAAACAATAATCCTATTACATTATGTACTACATTTAGAATAGGTGTTCGTTACACTGAATTATCTTAGAAGCCATATGCCCATAGGCACATAATAAGTTCAATAACCACAGAACACACGTTTGTGTTTATGAATCGCCTACTTTAATAACCGTTTCCTTTTATAAACTTTATTGCTTGCGTAAGGAAATGATTTTCATTTCATTAGCCTATTACCGTCTATACGTAACGTGGAAATTATAAAATATATCATAATAAAGTGTCTACTACAGGCCTTTGTTCCGCACTAATAATAATTGCAAATACAAATTCAGGGACTTTTGGGACAAGTTCTCCACAACTTCCTTTGTAACTCCTATTAATTCAGACACTATTACATTGTCATTGAGTTTTGTAAACGCTCTTTATGTGTTATACCCGGTGTATTGCATTAGGCAATGAGATTTGAAAAGAGTATTACATTCTATCAATACACCTTTGCCTTCCGAGGCGCAAAAAGTAAAACGTTATATTAGGAAATGTTTGGTTGATTAAGAGCCTAAAATAAAAGGAAAACTATTAAAGACCCACATTGCACACTGCAACGTGGTTTTCCCCCTAACAATAACCAATTCAATGATTACAATAGATTGTAAAGAGATGTTGTCATGCAATCTATGATCACGACTGGTTATTTAACAAACGAAGATTGCTTGTCAATTTAACAAAATGATGCATTACTAATTATATTGCCTACTGAGTTTGAATACCTTAGAAGATAGAAATTAACTATATTGTACCAAAACAAAACTCCAGGGCTAACATTAAAGCCTCGAACGGTGTAAACAAATGCTTTGCAAAATGAAAACAGCGCGTTGAGGCTTACCGCAATTTTAAGAGGTGGTTCAGATTCGGGATTTAAAGGCGTTGTATTTTGGAAATAATAAGATATCTTCAACAAAAAAAAAATTAGTCAGCCAAACCTTTACTAAATTTCGAGAAAAAATATCAACTTTCTCTTCACCTCTCTACAAATGTTTTGGTCTAAGTAAACGCAAGGGAAACAATTACACGTTCATTCAACATGGTGTGTCAACATCACCTGTGAAGTAACGTGAAAACTGCTCGTTTACTAGCACACATCGTCAACAATGCTCACGTGACTTGGTTAAATAAATCCTCCTTTAATGTTACCGCTATTGTCATAATTGACTTTAATAGAGGAAATGCTACATTATAGTCCCGTACAGTCGCGGCAATAAATGACTTGTTCAATAGTTGCTATTGTAATGAATTAAAAATAATGACTTTTTAGAGTATGGGTCCTAAATAATCTCTTAAAGATCTTTGGTTAATAATTTGTAAAGCGGTATTTTACTATTTCAATGGCAAAGGTTAAAATACCGTGCTCTGATATTCTTACCTGACAACGATATCTTAGAATTGTACCTGGATAGAATTCTTAGTCATTTTTTGTATCTTATCTTAGTATTTTTGAAAAACCTTATCGACTTGCTGATAATTACTGCAAACAACCAGATTAATTGGTTAATGTGAAAAATGCAACACATAGTTCAAGCTATTAAATCGTTGCTAAGTCCCATTATAGTTTCTTTCTAAGAATTTAATCTATCTGTCGCGAAGATTCCATCGGCTAACAATCATTAGTTTTTACTGGACTGGCGTTGCAGTCTACGACGTCCAGAGTATGGCGTGTCAGTCGGCCGCCGAGGTTCCGCATGCTCTCAATCCTAGTAATTCGTGGAACATTTTATAACCGGCTTTGTGGACGCCGCGTCCCTTTTGTGCTGTAAATCGCCGCATTCTGATAAACACAACGCGTGTGCCACGGCCGCGAGTGCGCGATAACTTTCGTATTATTTTATCTTACGTAGCAAACAAAAATAACAGCGTAATACCGCGGGTATCGTCCGTCACCCAATAACTTGCAAGTCAATGAACTCCAATTCTAAGTCTTAAATGTAGGTTGGCGATTAATGTGAACTGCAAATATACACATATATCTGCATTGGGCCGATGATGTCAAACAAATATTTGATGTAATAAATCGCGTCTCCTTGAACGAAAAACTTCCTAAGAATATCGGTCAGTGGTATCGTCGACCGATATCACGCAGCATTCGATAGAATGTCGATAAACGCACACGCGTTCGTCGTTGAGAAAATTTCGACATTATCATTTTTCGAGTTACACGCTGAATCGTAGCTATTACGATTCCGTTTCACGCAGCAGTTGCGTAAAGATGCAATCTCCTGAGAGTTTATCCGTGTTTATAATAGCAATGGTTGAACTGCATAACACCGTTATTAGATCGGAGTCACCATTTGAATCACTAATGACTTCCCTTTTTTAATGGCCAGGAAACGCGTCCCGTTCTGCCCCGTAGCATAAAATACCATGAGACCATAATTTACTTCATTTATTTCTGTGATGTATGTTATGTGTTGCATTTTACAGTTTATTGACAAAATAGTTCTTATAGATGTTAGTTCCATGTTCTATTTGCACATGATTGCATTCACAAGCACTGCCTTTATTGTCCACTAACAATGCAACCTTTGTTTCTTACCGTCCAAATATACAACGTTCTACATTTTAAGCAACTTACTTACATAATTATCAAACGTCGCGACATTTGTGTACATCTGTCTCACCACTAACATCGATTTTATAATACGGCTGTTCTGTTTGTCGTAATAATTTGGCAGGGTTACTTCCTCCACTTCTACAACGTAATCTGGGTGGGCGCAACATTTGCAACAGATTTCACTTCTCCCATCAAGTACATCTGCTATCGCAATTGAGATTCATCGTCGTGCACTATTGGACGCGTCTCACATCGTCTATAATTAGCCGACGCAGATGGCCTCAAGCGATTGACCCCAATCCAGCCCTAATGCTCACTACCATCGCATCATAGTATTTTTATCACTCCCACAACACGCTCGTGCAGTTCTCCTAGCTCCATATATGTCGTTATCTTATTAAAGTCTATTGTTAACTGTACAACAACAATTAGTTGCAACTGCAGAACTGATTTTATTAATATAAATGAACGCTCAATATCATCCAACTATTTTTAGTCTAATCCAAACATTTTATCGTATTAATTTTAAATGAAATACCTAATATGGCATAATTATAAATACGTCACCACGTTAAGTCATCAAATATTGTCGGTGCACCTTGTTACTTGTACATACGTAATAATATTTTTATCACCTCGGAGTATCTTTCCATACAAAATAATTTCATAACAACTGTGGCAATACAACTCCGGATTCAACGAATACAACTCGTTCGTAGTAATATTATAATCTTGTCTTTTCATAATCGGTCTGATTAAATTTGTACTTAGTCGTAAAATATAATAGCAGAATGACAGTAATTGAATTCGCAACGTTGAAAACAATGTATTTGGATTAATTTAACGTATACAGTAAGTAGTATATTAACATCTCAGCATCAGGCAAAACGTAGCACGACCAGTATTTAAACCGGTCCACCTTGAAGAACGCCATCTTACATGGCGCTCGATGAATGTACCTGCAGATTGTATATATTTTGGATTCAGTTGTACTCTGGGTTCTCGCCGGTTTTCGTAATATCTACGCCTAACGTTACGTCACTCGGTTGAATGTGTTTATGCGTACCGTCATATTGATGTGTAGCAGCCATAGCTTACACCACTGACCCGGTTTCTCACATCTGTTCAAACATAAATTTCTTTGATTCTGGTCAAGCGTTCGCATTTATTCTTCTCTCTGAATTTTCTCTCTGATGATTGACACGAACTCTTGCCTATACTATACCGCGTGATTTACCATCGCAACACTCCGTTAGTTTTTGTTGTGTTTCCAAGATGTCATTAGCAAGTATTATGAAAACGGTGTTTATTTGTTTGGAAGTGCGTGTTGAAATTTTTATTTGCTTCCAGCTCCATCGTATGCTAATTCTCTCGTTGTATACGTGATTTGCATGAGCTAAACGTGACCCGACGGGACTCGGCCGGCCGAGAATAGACACGGAAGGAAAGCCGGCACCGGCGCAGTGCTGGAGTGGAGACACGTGCTCTCTTGATTATGCGGCCGATTCGTGTACGCCTACCAACTGGATAAAGACCCGGAGACGTCAGGAGGTCACACGATTCGGTCGCGTGCCGCCAATAACGTGAACAAGCGTCGAGTAATTTGCAACTAAGAGCGGCTCCGAGAGAGCACGCGCCAGATCAGAATCGCATCACGAACCCAGGAAACGCTAGAAAAGTTTTCTTGGAAAACAAACCTGCTCCTTGTAATGAAGCCGTTGTCGCGTCCGTAACGGTGTGATCAGTCTCCTTCCTATCTTTTATGTGGATGTACGCTTACTGGTGGCATGGCCTGCACCTTCTAAGTATGTTTTTATCACCGTGATTTAATTTGCACCCGAGAAAAACGGGTTTTATTTTGTAGAAGCCATTCAGATACAGCTACCTTGACGCAGCACAGCACCATAAAAATATCCAGGGCACACTTATATTTTATTTCTGAACACTGATTTTCGTAACTTCAAACAATAACCAATAAAACCAAATTACTTTCCTTGAGAAAAACATTCAAAGATACCAATCGCGCGATCACTGTTTCGTGAAACGTAATACTGACGTTAACCTTGTCCGTACATATCTGTATTGTACTTATCTGTTATTTATTTTTGATATTAATCATATTCCAATGCTAATATATTATCTATCTAAATACTGAAAAAATCTTCGGAAATCTACCAGAGTTAAAGTAAATCTATAGATTACAGCAATCGTACATACGTTTGTAGATAAACGCTTAACTGATTACAGACATTATGGTAAACATGTTTTCGCCAAACAGGACCCCCAAATCTCTAAAACATCTGCTTTTTGTTTGTTTATGGATACGATGGAATATTTTTGTGTCTGAAAGTTAACATTTACGTTCTTTCGATTGACGTACTTTATGCATTCGCTGAAGTTTTGTTTCTCAGCGATAAGATTAGGTACAAGTACTTTACTTGTCGTCATTTTTCTAGAAGTCTTAAACCGCAAAACGTTTTGCGTTATCATTGTCCCTTACATTTTCCCGTTTCGATGTATTATTCATCTGTATTTGTTGCCACCTTTATAAATAATTATGATGTTTATTTTGTTACATTAAGCGATGGGATGAGTACTGCAATGACATCACCTCTGAGGTCAAACGACCAGTCTTGATTACAATGTGCTTGACCGCTACTGAACAATTTTCACTTGTTTGTTTTAACTTATCGCTACGATAACGTAAAGCTACGTCAATACTTGTTTACATTATTTTATTTATTGGATTATTTTATAAGTTTATTAATTCCATAAGGAAATTGATAAAAACGTCTGGCATGTTCAGGCCAGGTCAAGGATTGGTACGATATGGTGCAGAGTAGGCCTGACCTTTGACCTCTTCATTTATCAAAAGTTTTGTAACCAGATGTAAATACGGAACTATCGCATATAATCGCAGCCCATAGTAACACATAACAAATATATATATACTCAAAGACTAAAAAATATTAAATATACTCCAACTAGGAACGAAACAGAAATAAAATGTATTCTAAGAGAAAAAGCCGATAACAACAGCACCGTTACAAATATCAGTAATAACAATAAAAATAACACATCCATAATAATATTTATTAGAATTGTGTCACGAATATTAATAGACTATTGTTTCCAATTGTGCAAACAGATCCCAATACAAGGTTCTAAGATGACAACAATAACATATTCGCAACCATCAGAATATTTGAACACGTGTTTTTGACATAACTGCGTTATATTTAAACGTAATTTCAGCTTTACATATTATTATTTGGAATTCGCTAAATTTAGTTAAAACCACAGAAACAACCATTGTTTGAGTTGAAATCATTGTTATTACACATAATATTATTATATTTTTCATTATTCCTATTAAGACCACAATTGCGTATTCCCCCAAGGTAAAATTAGTGACATTTATCAACAAAATCACATGTGTTTAAAAGAAATCTTCGTTTTCGTTGATGATGTACGCTTTAAGTGCGTGAACGTTGACTGATTAAATCTCCTAGAGATTTGTGCCAAAGATTACTGCCAACTAAATGTAGGTAGCGCATCCGTAATGTTTAGGAAAGCCCTTGCATTTATATGCATGTATGATGGCTGAAGTGAAAACCAAAAGATTTATTTGACACATGTGAGGAAAATTAACCTGTGACCACTTTTGCGAATGCTCTTTCAAATATCAATAACCCGTTTAACAGGCTAATGCATATTGATGATTTACTCAGCAGTCCCCAAGCAAATATATATGGATTCAAAAATATTTTCACTAATAAATTCCCGGTTGCTTCTTGAAAATGTCTGCAATTCTAATATTGCGCTTGCTACCTTATCATGTTTATTGAATTGCTATTATAAAGTGTGCTATCTTTGTTTACTTTCCTAACATTAATGTTTACCTTGTGTCACAGAATATCAACTAAATATACCTACTTACTGTGATAGTGAATAGTGATAGATATTCAGTACGACGTGTCTCATAAACATTTATTAATACACAATTCAATAACAGAATCACAGTTATGCTCGCAGTACCACACAATGCTTGCATCTATTCTAATAATATGAACAGTTAATTTCTTCTTCAACTTCTATTAAATTGACAATAATTGTATTGACGTCCACCACATTATTTAGTAAACATTAACTTCATGATGCACCCACTCAAACGCTTAAGTTAAATCCAAAAACAGTTCGTGCTATACTAGTACAATATGTATTGTAAACACACCCGTATCTATTGCTAGGACCATTACTATGGAAGCTTCGTTTATCACTTGTTTTGTTACTTCACATATGAGCCAACAATGTTTTATAGTAGTGGTGATGTCACTAATACAATTAAATTAAAACTCGTCTGCTAAAAATGTTTACACGCCATGTTGAACTTCAAACCTGTTTGTGTTTTTTCCTTTGCTGTTTATCCGTCTTCTTTGTTTTCCATAAAATTTTAAATCCGCTGTTATGATGTTTGATAAAAAGTGGAAGGTTTACGTTCATGCAACTGATAACCGGATGAATGTAGTTCTTAAAAATATCATTGGTTGATAAGTGCCTTAATCTTGGATTACCGCTTTTTTTAACTTGCGATAAATCGATCGAATTGACGACAGTAGACGCATGCAAAGCTATCAATGACGTACAAGGATATGAAACTGCATTCAATGTTAAAATTATTAATAATGCTTGTGCAGTGCGTGATGAAGATTAAATTAGTCAAGTCTAGATATCATCAGAATTAATGGTGCCAGGTGTCTAACTACCCGTTGTCTTGTTTGCTGTCGCGTCCGGTTATAATTAAAAACAATGCGACAGGTTTTAACGTATGCCCTTGGACTGGTTATATCATCGGTCTCTGTTTTTGGTGCGCAGCTCGACAAAAAGTTCACTGCACTCTCCGTCGCTTCATGAACTTGCATTACTTTCTTTTGAATCATTATTTCAACCTTTTCTATAATTTTTCATATAACTTATTTTTAAATGGTCTCATTTACATGTTTTTCACGTTCCCTTTATCTAATTCACCTACTGACATGAAAATGTAGGCAAACAATGATAAGTGCTGTTTTACATCGCAAATAAGGTGCTAATGCTTACGATAGTAAACTGCGTCTAATTACTGTTTTCCATTTGTATTCATTTGCAAGCGAAATTATCCAGTTTCTCTTGAACTTGTTCTCAATTGAACGCCAATATATTGGTGTGATGAGTAGGTACTTTGGCGCCCCATCAATCTGTTACAGACGCGAACCTCAATTTTGTCTAACGAGATCCGGCGCAGACCGGTGTAATTTAAGCGCAAATTCTTCTAATTGAAGGTCGCAACACCCACGCAAGAGCAGCCACACTTAATAAGATCTCATCAAAGCGTCTATTAATATCCTGTTCTAATTATACCTCTCCCGAAATCTACTCACAGCACTCATCCTCACCACATTTAGCCAGTCAACGAGCCTAAGTGCATACCTTGACTCACCGATCTTTAGGATGACTCGAAGTTTGCTCTTAAAATTGTTTTCGCTCGTCTGTCGCATTCCCACTGTGTAGCAATTGTAGGCGTCTACATGAAATGTCTGTTTAGTGAATTATAAATTGTTGAGCGAAAAAAATGACACGACTACGTTCTTATGTTCTCATCGAATTATTTATGATATTATAAACATTACATATTTTATTGCAACTATGTTGATTAGAATTGCAAGTTACGCTAATATGTAGAAAATGAACGTCTATTACTAATCTATTTTATTAATTATCCGCATTCTGTTAGGCTCATTGCAAAATATTACCATAAAAATCTTAGTCTGACGTGATGCATTCTTAAGTATCATGTCGCCTTCTCTTGGCTTTAAAAGCATTTTAACGTCATTATTATATCGATGGAAGTTTTGTTTGTTGTTTTCGTTTCTTTATAGTGTTATGCAACCTTGTTTTAGACCAGCACCACTTCAGTAATTAGTTACATTCCGGCACAGTTTAATGTTTTTATTTTTGTCGCGCACCATGAAGGCCCTTTATTAAGGGCGAAAATTTTCCAATGAAGCATAATTGACTGGAGTAAACACTTGTTCATGAGAATCGTAAACATGTGCTGCTACATCTTTATTTAGCAACATGTTATTTGATTTTCATGGGTAAATCCGTTGGATCATAATATATTTGCTCTTACTTGTATGTCCAATTTAGCGATGTCATTACCCATGTGCTATTTATTTGTGTTGTTTTATTCTATACTAATTGCAAGTACATGCTAAACTCTCGTGGAAAACTTTTTATTTGCTCCAATTTAAAGCGGAGCGAAGTCAATCTATTTGAAGTGTGTACTTATTATTGTTTGTGTTATTTTTATGCGTGTCTATTACAATAGTAATTTGTTAATGACTTCCTAAGTTCTTAAAGGCAGATTTTTAATAAACTAAGCTATTCCAAAAAAGTTTTATTAGAATATACTTATATTGAAAGATCTAGCAATTTAAGGGCTTTGATGATATCGATGTAGGTTGTGTCGTTGAGTTCAGGGTGCACGGTCGGCTCGCGTGGCGTGGTGACGTGTTCAACGCCATTTTAAATAGGGCGAGCGCGCGCGCAGACCATCAGTCGCCTGGTAGGACGCGAGAGAGCAACTTCGCCGCTTTAGTTCGCGAGTTCCACGTTATCGCCAGTCGAGTTTCAGTCGTCGCCGGAGACGCTCATATACACAGTGACCCTGAAAAGTTTATCAGTCAGTTTAAACATGATTGACGTTGTGCAAAAACCTAGAGATGGCTGCCTGTACGAAATCAGACAGAAAGGACAAAAAGATACCTGTTACGTGGTCGTGCCAAATCCAAAAGTACGTTTTATTTTTCACTCGAAAGATTTTATTTTTATTAAACCGGTGTAGGTTTTTGAAACGCATTCCGTTCTTACGATTATAATCTAATCGCGTGTGTTATTATCACTTTACAACACGATTTAAGCCCATGTTGACAATATTATTTTATTTTCGTTTTAAAATGAATATTAATACAGTGCTAATTAATTTCCGTGAAAAACAAATCGTGTGGTGATGTTGTCACTTTAACTAACGTAAATATTTTGTGTTGTTTCAGGATCTGGTTAAGAGCCACTTGATGTTCGCGGTGCGCGAGGAAGTGGAAGTATTGAAAGAGCGCATCGCTGAACTAATGGAGAGGATCAACCAGCTCGAAGTGGAGAACACATACCTGCGGGCTCATGCGAGCCAGGACACCCTGGCGCAGCTGCCTGCCGCGGCTGGCACGAAGCCGCCAGCAGCCCCGCAGGGCCCCCAGCCGCCTGTGTCGTAGGGCGGCGGCGTGGCGCTGCTGAACACGCCCGCCGGCCCCCGCCGGCCATTGAGGTCCCCGGCCTCGCCCTCGGCGCGCGACCCCGCCCGCGGCACCCCTCCCACGGAGTCACTAAGGCTGTGCTATGTTAATTCGTAGGTTAACAAGGAACGAGTGTAAGTACACCGGTCGAGCGCCGAGGGACGCTGCGCGCACGCACTGCGCCGGCGCGTCTCGTATAAATCACACAAGTGTCTAGTTAGAGCGGCCGCCGCCCCGGCTGCCGCCTGCAGCGCCCGGGGCGGCTCCCGCGCACTGCACCACCAGACATTATGCTTCGGAAACATAGATATATATTTTTCTGTTATTAATATTTAGGGTGCAGAATTTCGTGCTAACTGCCATGCTTTTGCTACGCATCTCAGCAACGAGTCTTTAGTGTTTTGATGTACGTCGTGTATATTTTTATTTGGTTTAACGTTAGGTATCGCTATCCACGTAATGTATTCCATTTAAGATAACTTGTAAGACGTGTGTTAATATGATAATGTAATGAAATAGTTGAATATTCCTATGCATTGAACAATGACTGTGTGTTAATTTATTATCTATATATTTTTTTAATGTAATGTTAAGTTATTTATCAGGTTTCTCTGTATGTATACTAGGATGCATTAAATTGCAAGTGTTCCTGAAGGGCCGATAACAATGATCTGTCGTTAGCAATATGTACTGAATGAGTTGTGTGCAGTTTTCATTTAGTTGGTACTGTTAATTACATATTTACGATAAAGTAATATAGAAGTTTGAATGTATGTTATCCACAGTCGTAATGTGTAACGTTATACTGAGCAGTCGTTTACAATTAGAATCGTTGCGAGAGTGTGACCTCGTGCGATGCTGGCTTTAGAGAATTTTGCACGCTGAAACTGAAAAAATATACTATTTTTATTCCAACCCTATGATAATGGAGGTATATAGTAATTTAACATTGTATTTTTTTAATAATTAAAAATTGTTTGTATATAGTACAAGTTGTAATAGAATTGTGAGTCGGAACGATGTATATAACGAAAGAATGTGATTAAGAAACCGATTCCGTAGTCTGCCTTCAAAGGTTGGATCAGATGTTATCGCGAGAAGTATATCTAAACGTTATAATTTAAAATATTCGCTGTATTTAAATAGCTTGATTGTTTAACATGAAACAAGCGAACAAAGTGGCTGGTGACTGATTGTATGGATTGTAACTAGTGGGATGTGACGTGAAAGTCAGGCTCTATGTTTGTTTAAAAGCCAAAGTTAGGAAGGTGTGTCCCAGCGACTGAAGTGTGACAATTTTACCTAAATAGTAGTATTTTGTACAACGCTACTACATATATGTATGTGTATAGACGATTTTGTTAGGGTCTTCATAATTATTGTGAATATACAGTAATTTACTCCTAGAAGCATTACTCTAGATCTAGATAATGGTAATATGAACTTATATTATATACTGAAATTTGTAAATATACTGTAAACAAAAGTCCATTGTAGCTTATGTTGACCAGAAAGGTTCCTCATACCCAATAAATGCAAAACTACTCAAAACACTGTATTATTTATTCATTACCCTTAAACTACCTGAAAAATGACACTAAAGAGATTTTTCTAAACCTCGAAATTAGTTTTCAAATAGTGAAAACGACTATTGACACTGTCAATACTGTCTAAAAGTAAGCAATAAACGAAACAACAATGTTCATTCAAATACAATTCACTATATTTATTCAAGCGAAAAATATACTTGAAATAAATTAGTGTTAAAAATAGTTGACTTTAAGTTCAGATAAAAATACTTGGAACTGATAAAATTAGTTCCACAAAAAATAACGTAAGGTGAAAGACACTGGTTACCAAATTAAACTGTTACCGGCTGTACCGGTTCAAAGTTTGTAGAGAGTATTGTTTACAAATGCCATGCCGCTAGCTACAATTTTCACATCCGTTTTCCGACTCTCCAAAACGATCAGGTGATCCAATGTTTACATCTGAAATTAAATTAATACTGACGGTTAGCGCCATCTATTGACTGTTCTTCTAAATTTATTTCCGCAACATCTTCGAAAATGTTGGAAAGATGGCGTTAGAGTGAACACTTACAGTAAAATCTGAAATTAGCGCCATCTATTGCATAAAAATTTATAACGAGGCCAACGACTCAACTGTAGTGTTTAGCGATTGTTATTAGTCATAATATAGATGGCATTTCTGTAACCAAGTAAAAGTTATAGACAGTTTGAATAATTTGTTTTTGGGTGATTTTGGTACTTTTTTGATTTTTTTCATAAATAAAGTAAAAAATTTGAAATTTTGAATTAATAAAATGGTAAAAGTTAATATAATATCATACCCTGATAGGTATGTACATAGGTAGGTACTAAAAATATAGCCATGTTAGTCCTTTAAAGATACATAATTAGAAGACTAACATAATACTACATTTCATTTTTATTAGGGATTATTTTATCAAGCTAATTATTTTATTAAAAAGAAAACGAATAGTCACAATGGTTACAGCTAATACATTTTCATATTTCTCTTCTCACTTCTGCGCTACTCGACACTAGGTGGCGCTAAACATAGATTTTTATGGTTTTCAAAGTCGTACCATAAACCAGAACAGTTTTAATCTTCTTCATTTCTTGCTACGTAAACTTTTCAACGATTGCCAACATGTTCAATGAGCATACTTTAGCTTAATCATACTTGCTCTCTATCGTTTGTACACGAGTCACCTGAATAAACGATAGTACATTTTCCTGTGTACGTGGAACGCGATTTTTGGTCTCGTCACTAGCTGTCAGTGGAATGTCAGACAACCTGCAAGTTGGAAATAAATAATAACAAACGGAAATTATGGATAATATGAGTTTGAAAGAGATTCAAAGCAAGCTTTTATTATGGGAGGCTGCAGAAAATCCTCTTGCACCTCTAACGTCGGAGCAGAGAGAAGCTATCTTAGATTTAGAGTCACTTTTACTCGGTGTATCTAGTGACTTGGACGATGTTTGTATTTTCACTATTTACTAATAGTTTCCTAACAATAACAGGCATTATAGGGTTCAAGAGTCAAGCTAAAATCTTAATTAAGTGTATACATTATACAACTTTTTTCTTATAATAATATTAGTATATGAAAAATTGTCTTGAAATTTTACAAGTACTACCTTTAATTAAAGCTGATGAATCTCTTTATCAAGTTCAGTTGTAGTTACTATACCTAAATAATTACTTCCACGTATCTGAATTTCTAGGGAACAACAGAAAATAATGTTGATGAGGAGTTTGATAAGAGTAACATGCCCACCGTAGACACAACATATGACTTTCTGGAGTGGTACGAGAGTCTGTGTGACAACAATCTGAAGACTGATGATGCGCCGTACGAGGCCTACCATAAGCAGCTGGATGATAGAAGAAATGAGTGTGTTGCATTGACCAATCAGGTAAATATCCAGTCCTTATGCTGCCATAACCTGGCTAATACAAATAAGAAATAGAGGAAAATGGGGGTTTTTAATGTTTAACTTACTAAAGTTATACAATGTCATATTTATTTTCAAATTATCTGGACATACATTCAAATATTTAAAGAACTTGTTACTTTGTACAATGACGTATAATAAGGTATACAATCATATTAATATTAACATACATATTAGAAAAAAAGAAATACTTTTGTAATGTATGGAGATAGATACTAAGCTATCATTAAAGCATTGGTCGTCAAACTTTCCTCCTGAAGGCCAATTTAGAAGGGGGATTGTGAAGGGGAATAGGCACTAGATCATTGGTAAATATCTCTCAGAGAAAACCTGCAACCCATTTTAAAGTTGTAATTTCAACAACTATATATTTAATCTTTATTAGTTATCTTATTTTACTTATGTAATTATTTTTCAGATTGGTGCTACAATGTCTGATTTGGACAAATTGTCCGAACAATACAACTTTGTGTCGAATAAAACGAATGCTCTGCACACAATGAGTGAGCAACTGTTGGCTGATCAAAATAAACTGTCTAGCATAGGTGAGATATTGCATTAGTCAATTTAAAAAAAAACCAAGTGCAACTAGTTTCAGGTATGGTTATCATAATGTAACATAATATTGTGCAAAAGTGCACTAAACAAGAGCGGGTACTCTTTTGGACATTCATTTCATTCTTGTAAAAAGAAATATATAATTATAATATTATTACCTACTTCTACAATAGAAGGCACGAATGCTAGTAAATTAAGAATGTTACCTAAACCTAAAATGGTAGTCTAATTTTTTTTTGGATTAATCTGCTTATCAAGCATTTGGATCTGATAGTAAGCAATCGACGTCGCCCATGGACACCCGAAACACCAGAGGCGTTACGAGTGTGTGCATTTTTGATTGCAGATTAGGAATTTGAGGATTGTTAGGGATTCGAGGATTGGGGTGATTAGGTAAGGGAGTGATTGGATGTGATACCAATTGAATTTTCAAAATGTCCTTTACCAAGTTATTTTCTTTCAAACTTCTAAATATAAATACTGGTGATTCCAGGTGACGACATCAAACAGAAGCTGCACTACTTCACGCAGGTGGAACATCTGTCCCAGCGACTGAACAGCCCCACCATGTCTGTGAACAGCGAGACTTTCTTCAATGTGCTCGCCAAGATCGACGAGTGCTTGGAGTATATGAGAGCTAATGTAAGTGTATTCTGAAGTCATATGACACAAGACAATATTAGTTATTTTCTTAAATATGTAAATTATAGTGTGAAGAGTTATGAAATAAAACAATCTAATTTCTAATCCACCATCACCCATTTTCTGAGAGACTTCACTGCTAGACCATCAGTAGTCAGTAGTCCTCTATAAATGAGGGGTTTGTTACATATATAGTGTAAACGGAACGCTGACAAAAAGAAAGCGATCCTTCATTTTGTAATTGTTTTCATTTTCGTGTTATTTATGCAACATCAGCCTTGTGCAGTTGATTACAACTATTATTACATAAAACAAATATTTCATTCCTTACTTATAAGGAATATAAAACTAGTTTTTTTATCATCACCTGTCGGTGTTTTTCAGAAGCGTTCCGGTTACACCTTATATTTAATTTCCCTTAAGTAGGCTCTCACGGCACCTGCAGCAGGTCATCACACGCTGACATTTAATTACTTCTTCTCTATTTCTAATTTCTCAACAAAAGTTTTATATTTTCAGAGTAACTACAAGGAATCCCACACCTACTTAGTGAAGTACCGCCACCTTCAAAGCCGTGCGATTTCTCTCATTCGTTCCTACGTGACCCACGTCCTGAACCACGCCACGGAACAGATGCTAGCTCCTAAAGACGAGGACCAGAATGACCAGGAGAACATGGACACCGCCTATGCTGTGTATTTCGGGAAGTTCCAAGCCGCTGCCCCCAAGCTGAAGATGGTTATTGGTGAAATTGAGGCTAGGGCCGAGAAGAATGCTGAGTAAGTGAGATTTCGAGATAAATATTAATTGTTAAAGAATTTATTTTTTTTAGATATTCTGTACTAACTGGTGTAACCTCAATGTCGTTTTTAATAATTAAGCTACTATTTAGCGTTTTTAAATAGGGCCAATAGAGTCCATCTAACGAACGAGAATGTGTTTATTTTGTAAAACTGTATGAAAATTGGTGGCTATGGAATTAAATTAACAAAATATTTTCGTCTAAATACTGAAAACTACTCATTTTTAAGTTGTACTTAAATATCGTGCCATCTCTATCATTTTACAAAGAATTTCTAGTGACAGAACCGACTTAAAAATTTAGTTAGACGAACCTCTTTACGAAAACTATTTCAGTACAAAAAACATAACATAACATCACGCCTTTTATCCCCGAAGGGGTAGGCAGACGTGCACATTACGGCACTAAATGCCACTGTACAATGTAACACCCACTTTTCACTATTTATGTTATGAGTGTAATAGGGGGTGAGCCTACTGCTATATACCGGGCACATTTCCAGACTCCATGCTACTACTGAAATTTTTAAAAACCCAGTAATACGTTGCCCGACTCGGGAATCGAACCCGAGACCTCTTGACCAGCAGTCGCACTTGCGCCCACTCGGCCAACGAGGCAGTCAGCAGTATTTCAGCACGTAAATGAAAATTTTAATCAAGTTAAACTTTGCTCCATGTTTCCAGCTATGCATCTTTACTGTCAGACATACAACGCGAGTACGCAGGTCGTCGCTGGCGCGTGGCGGGCGCGGCGACAGACGGCGCGGTGGCGGGGGGCCGGCGCGGGCCGGGCGGGCGCGGGCCCGGCCGGCGCGGCCCCCCCAGACCATTGCTCGCAGCTCCGCGCTGCCTGTTCTCTACTGGCACACGCCTGTAGAGACGAGTGTGCACTCTACTATCATTTCTTCACAAATCCATCGACTGCTTTAGAGTAAGTTTAAAATTTTTATAACTATCATGAGACATACTAAATTAATGTTACATTGTTCTCGCACAATCCAAATAGCAAAACTATGTAACTAGTAATTTGTATTGTGAACCTGATTGAAAAAGAGTAACCTATGGAGTTTCTTGCTCGTTCTTCTCCATAGGAATCTACGCCTTGGAACGAGCAAATAGCTCCACTTTTAATTTTTTTGTTGTCGTTCAAAAGTGCCATTCTGGCCTAATTGAAATAAATGATTTTGACTTTGACTTAAATAAAAGTCGCGGGTTACTCACGTGAAAATATTGAGAAAAGCACTACTAGTTTCGAACCACAGAGGGGTTCTTCCTCATGAGCAACGTGCGCGCGATGTCGTGCAGCCTACTGACACCCTACAGAGAGTAACCCGCGGTTTTTAGTTAATGTTTAGTTTATTTCGATGGTAGGAACAATTAACAATGTAGGTACCTCTTTTTATGAAACAATATGAGTTCTAGTTCTGTTTAGATAAATAACTGTCCGAAAAGGATACTCAACTACTTTCAAGCTAGGTTAAGGGCCTGTAAATATAAGTAATATGCTCGAGAACTCACAGTTACGCCAGTATGTGTGTGTGTGCCATGCTTCGGCACGAATGAGCCGGCTCGACCGGAGTGATACCACGGCCTCACAGAACACCGACGTGAAGAAACGCTTGCGTTGTGTTTCGTCGTGTGAATTAGGTTACCGGAGGCCCAATTACCCTCCCCTTCCCCAATCTCCCCAATCCCTGAATCCCCAACGATCCTCAAACTCATAATCCCCAAAAAGCCGGTAACGCACTGGTGTTCCAGGTGTCCATGGGCGACGCCGATTGGTTGCCATCAGGTGATCCGTCTGCTCGTTTACCGGCTTATGCCATAAGTCCTGTATGCTAAATCCTTATTTCAGATGTATTAACAAGTCCCCTATAATATTTTCAGTGAATACCTACAGTCACTGTGTACGGGGCTCTACGAGTCACTGCGGTCTCAAATAATCCACATCAATCACTTGGAGACTCTCGCCGAGCTCTGCGTCATACTCCGAGTGGAAGTCATCGAGGAACAAGTTAATAACGATCGTGAGTATTTGCCAAGTTAAGCACTACAATGAGAATGGGTAACTCGCTGCCCGACCAGAACTAGACACGACCGTATGGAGGGTACTCAAAGAGCCATCAGACCACCACAGAAGTGACCCAATAGGACTGATGATACGGAGCCGCGGAGGACTTAACTCCGGCTCGAAGGGTAGGAGTATGAATGGGGTGTTTTTTAGTCAGTAAGAGTCTGACACTCTCGCCTCACCCGAGCGGGAGAAGTCCTTGGATGAATTTCCACCCTTAGAAAAATAAAAAGCTGTTATTATAATGAGAGCCATATCGATGCGTTTGCGTTATTTGGTGAACAAAGGATGTGGGATACTTTTGAAAGTCTTATAAGCCAGACTTGCCAAGTAAGTAGGTAGGTAGGCGTCTTCTCGTCAAGTGGTTCACACTGTATTTCTTTCTCGGGTTTAATTATACGACATTATCTATTACCTCAATACATACCTATGCCTATGACTTCAGTGTTCCGGTGTTTTCATGGTTGTATATACTGTAGATCCTGGCTTACAGGAGTTGCAGCGGTTTTGGGAGGTGTGGCGGGCTTGTCCCTTTAAAAAAAAATACCTATGCCAAAAGTAGAGATTATGCCGAACTAGCCGAACCTTTTTGTGTAGAAAAGCCTAAAGTCTATAACCTAGAAATGTATTGTCACAAACTAATGATGGTGAAGATGATACCGCCATTTATCACTCTATTTTTCTCACTATCATTCCCTCCCCGCAGCCCGGCTGGCGGCGCTGGGCCAGTGCGCGCGCGCGCTGCTGCAGGACGCGCAGGAGCGGCTGGTGTACCGCGCGCACGTGCACCTGCGGGCCGACGTCCTGCTGTACCGGCCCGCGCACGGGGACCTCGCATACCCCAGCAAACTGATCATGATGGAGGTAACGCACTTTACGGAATTACACACTTATTATCCTTACTTATATTATAAATGGGAAAGTGAGTTTGTTTGTTTGTTCCACTTTAACGCCGTAAATACTAAACCGATTGCTTTGAATTTTTGCAGACATGAAGTTAGAAGTATGGATTAAATAATATAATACTTTTTATCCCGGAAAAATTTGATATTCCCGAGGGAAAACAAAAGTATTGGTATAGATGGCCCTGTGTGTATATGTCACATTGGCTTTTTTTATCCTTTTGTAACGCAAGCGAAGCCGCGGGTAAAAGCTAGTACTATATAAAAAACATTAATATTAGACTTGCCTACAAATAGTTCCTAGTTAATTAATAATTAAATGTGTATCTTTCCACAGCAAATCGCAATATCAATCCAAGAGCAGTCTCTCAAACGGAGCGATTCGCGGAACTCTATGATATCCGACATCTCGGCCACGTCGCAAGAAGTAGCGAATATAAACGTTGAAGCCCAGAAACGACCACAAGCCTCCCCAGCAGACCTTCACGGCATGTGGTACCCAGGAGTAAGAAGGACGTTAGCAGCACTTTCAAGACTATACCGATGTCTAGAGAAAAAAGTCTTCCAAGGATTAGCTCAAGAAGCCATTTCTCTATGCGTCCAAAGCGTAGATAACGCAGCCAAGCAAATATCGACCAACGCAACTAATATAGACGGTGAATTATTCCAAATCAAGCATTTATTGATACTTAGGGAACAGATAGCGCCATTCCAAGTAGATTTTATAGTGAAGGAAACGACTTTGGACTTTAGTAATGTAAAGAATGCTGCGTATGGGTTGATACAGAAGCCGAGGCAGATATTTTCTTTAAACACTAACAATGCCTTGTTAGAGTTCCTATTGGAAGGCACTCCGATGGTGAGGGAACATCTCTTGGACTCAAGGAAGGAGGTCGACAGGCAGTTAAAAAGCTGCTGTGAGCTGTTCATCAAGGATGCCACGGAGATACTAGCTGGACCCATGATAGCTTTTATTGAGAAGGTAAGTCAGTATGCGTGTCGCGGAGAACCTAAAGGGTTACCGGGGCTCCGGCTCGACGTGCAGGAGAAGGAACGGGGTGGTTTTTAGTCAATAAGAGTCTGACACTCCCTTCCGCCTCACCCAAGCGGGAGCAGCCATTCGATGATATTCCTCACTTAAAAAAAAAGTCAGTATGCGTACAATTCATACTATGAAAATTAACTTCTAAACAACAGTAACACTGCAGCTATTGATATTGAGAATCCTATTCATATCTAAGCCTTTCCACACAATGGATTCAGTAGTTAGCAGTTACAACATATCTAACAAACAAGTTTATTATTCAAATTCATGATTTAATTATTATTACAAAAAAATAAATACCAACAGATATTCTGAAAGAGTCTGACTTAATTTTTAATTGTTATGTTTTTATTTATTTATTTCGTCTTTAATGTAAAAAAATTGATTAAATAATGGCACATAAGGCTAACTTAATGCCATATGGCATTCTCTGCCAGTCAGTGTTATGTATGGATTTTGATTCAACTATTCAGTATACGACTAGACGGACGGCGCCCTAGACGGACATATAGTGACCAGATTGGCGATATATTAAAGAAGGGCCAAATTAAAAGTACCCTTAACCGTCGAGCATGCATGAAAAGATTGATGACTGTTGATAAAGCGAAAGAGGTATGTAGGAATCGTAGTACTTGGCGTTCCCTAGTCTCTGCCTACCCCCATGGGAGAAAGGCGTGAAGTTATGTATGTATGTATGTATTCAGTATTCTGTATAAACTTTACACCATACTTTTTTACACAAATTTTCAGGCTACAGCATTTGCACCAATAGAACAGCTAAAGTCCCAGCCGTGGGCTACACCAGAAGAGATAGCTGTGGCCGTGAAAGAAGCACAGAAGAAGATAAAGGCCCACCTCGCTCCATTACAGCGGTCCATGCAACTCTACCTTGCTAACAAGGAAACCGAGTTCATTCTATTCAGACCTATCAGGGTAAGACATTATTTCCTCATGGCAATTTTTTTTATGGCATAAGCCGGTAAACGAGCAGACGGATCATCTGATGGTAAGCAATCGGCGTCGCCCATGGACACCTGGAACACCAGAGGCGTTACAAGTGCGTTAACGGCTTTTTGGGAATTAGGAGTTTGAGGATCGTTGGGGATTCAGAGATTGGGGAGATTGGGGAAGGGGAGGGTAATTGGGCCTCCGGTAACCTCACTCACACGACGAAACACAACGCAAGCGTTGCTTCACGTCGGTTTTCTGTGAGGCCGTGGTATCACTCCGGTCGAGCCGGCCCATTCGTGCCGAAGCATGGCTCTCCCACACAGAATTTAGTAAAGAATTTCCACCATTGTTTGACTCTAAATTGTCAGTTGACCTTCAAGCAAAGAGCGTATTCCTTTTTAAAAAGCCGGCATCGCACCTGTGACTCCTCTGGTGTCAATAGGCGGCGCTGATCGCTTACCATCAGGTGATCAGTATGCTCGTTTGCCTCCTATTCCATAAAAAAGGGTGAACATGAATTAATTAATCTAAATTTTTTTTTTCCAGAACAACGTAGTCGGCTACTTCGTGCAGATAGAACAGTTGCTAACAAACGCCGGATATAATTACGAAGACACGTTGATCGTGGCCTGTCCGACACCGGAGCAAGTTTCCGTCTTCATATCCTCAGCGAGCCTGATCAGCCATAGTGAACCAGTACATCCGTTTGGTACTAAGGTCAAACATAGCGTGGTTAGGAAGCCTAGCGTCACTAGCGTGCAAGAAAAGGAAGAGGTTACAGTTGGTGTCGAAGCTACACCAGATACTGTTACTCTGTAAGCAATTTAACATTAGGTACATATTTGTTCCCTTATCTAGTTATACAAAAATGTTATATGGCAAATGTTTATTTGTTTGTATAAAGTATGAGCGCGCTAATCTCTGAACTCCTAGTTCGAATTGAATAATTACACTGGTCGACAAGTATTTTGTCACAGCTAAAATATATATTTTTTTTTTTAATAGAAGTAAACAACCTGGTGACCTTATTCTTCATAGAAAGCCAACATCTAGATTTTGTGTAAATCTATTGATAAATTATATAATTTTTTGCTTAATCAGTGACTTTGTTCAAAAAAACGTTTGTATTTAAACATTTTTGATAAGTATAATACATAGTACAAATCTTATTCTCTTGATAACACTTTGGATTGATTCTCTAGAATTTCTTTGTCATTACTAAGTTATAGGTGTTTGAAATTCACATAGAATTATGCATAGAACATTTTTAATATCGATCACATGCAAAAAATCAATAGAAACAAACTGTCATATATCTCAGCTATAGTGAATGTATTCAAAGTCCTATGAAAAGATTAAACTTGCAACTTTTGAAATAATCTGTTAAAAATATAGTAAATGAAATAGTTAATTCTATGTAAAGTAATAAAATACGTTAAAATGATTAAATCACTGAACTTTGTTAACAGATAACATAAAATCTAGACGTGATAGACATAGAGATTGTACTCATTATACATCACTACCTACATAGTATAAAACAAAGTCGCTATCCGCCATCTGTCTGTCCCTATGTATGCTTAGATCTTTTAAACTACGCAACGGAATTTGATGCGGTTTTTTTTTTCATAGATAGTGATTCTTAAGGAAGGTTTATACGTATAATACATGTATGTTGCACCCGTGCGAAGCCGGGACGGATCGCTAGTAGTTCGATAAAAAAGTAACTTTAAAAAAAATAATTTTTGTAGACCAGTGTTATTCTCATATTGGATAGTTAATTTAAAGACGAAGGCTATCCTACTATTTTAAATGCGAAAGTTGGATGTTTATTTGTTATTCCTTGACCTCAAAACAGCTCAAGGAATCGGGATGACACTTTGGAACAGGGTTAGCATAATCTAACCCTGGCTAGAATCACACATACCTAGACTACTTTTTATCCCACGCGGGCGAAGCCGGTTGCAGAAGCTGTAGTAGACTAAAAAACTAAAACAACACGTTACGATCTTACGATCAATAGGAGTCGAGTAGCGGGCGTAGTTGTATTATAGTAAAATATCTATGTAAGAGAATATTATCCCTCTTGCCTTGTTAAATGTTTATTTTCAAAGGTTTATTGTTATTGACCAAATACATCTTGTCTATCAAACTTCGGTTACGAGTTGTGCTTATTTATCTATAGAAAGATATGAAGTATGGATTAATTTATTGATGTGATTATAAAGTTAGCATTATTTTATCAAATATTATAATAGTATTTTAATGGCATGTGTATGGTTCTGTATTATTTGGAGAATGTGTTTCCCACATTCATTGTGAAATATGGATGTTTGAATGGAGGTGCAATGTAAAGTGATTCAAGGTGTACCTACTAGCATAGCCAACATGATTGATTTTTTATTCAATTTGAATCGACACACTTGATCACTGAATTCTTATTTCAATTTCATAATATTCATGTCAATTTATTGTGAAATAAAAAATAAGAGAATACAAAAACTCATGTTTATTTACACATTTATTACTTATTATTCTCCTATTAATAAATACAGATTCAACCAAGACATTGTGTTTTATTACAATAAAACGACAGACATTGGGAGAAAAGTGTTTAATGCTTTTTTTCCGATCTTAACTGATTTAAATAATGTTTCTAATGTACAACTAGAATTGTTTACACCCTAAGCCAGTACATTCCAGCGCGGATCCTAGTGTAGTCTGGCAGACCTTCAGTGGGTCCGACGGCGGCAACTGCTGGGCAGCGGTCATACAAATACTTGTAGCACACATCACGCACATTCTGTACAGACACAGCATCGATGCGGGCATCCAGCTCATGGATGGGGATGCGGCGGTTGTAGCACAACATTTGGCGACCAATGTCTTCACACACTGGGGTGGTACCATCCAACTGGAGAAGCATGTTAGTTTTCAGAAGGTTCCTGGCACGCTCTACCTCACCCTCGGTAACAGAGGTGCAGAGCTTCATCCATTCCTTCTGGATATTGTACACCATATCTTCTAACTGCATAGGTTCAGCAACAAAATAAATGCCCCAAAGTCCAGTGTCTTTGTAGCATGTGTTGAAGGACTGGAAGCTGTGGCACAGGTTGCCAGAGGAAGCAGCACGAGCCAGGAAGGAGGCATTGTTGACACCACCACCCTGAGAGCGATCCCAAGCGCCGATCAAAGTGTTGGCCACCATCAGCGGAATGTTGTCAGCATCGGTCCAGCCGGCACCCTCAACAGCAATAGCAACATGGGCCAGAGGCATGGAATCATCACGTACCCTGACCTCAGAGCCAGTGTAACGGCATGGTGTCACTTCGACATCAGTCACAGTGTTTTTCAATCCACTGAAGTTCTTGTTGGCAAGGTCAACCAATTTCTGGTGGTCAACACCGCCAGCTCCAGCAAGAACAATGCGGGCAGGCTGGTAGTGAGTCTTAATGTAGTTTTGAAGGTCAGATTTGGAGATCTTCTTAATGTTCCTGGTGGGTCCAAGGATGGTCTGGCCTAGAGGTGTACCTTGGAAAGCACAAGCATGGAGATGATCGAAAACAACTTCTTGCAGGTTACTTTCGACATCTTGCATTTCGCGCAGAATAACACCTCTTTCTCGTTCGATTTCGGGTTCTGCGAGCGACGAGTTCTGAATGATATCAGCAAGGATCTCTACGGCGACTGGTACGTCATTAGCTAGGCACTTAGCGTAGAACACGGTCTGTTCCCGAGACGTATAAGCATTCAAATGGGCACCCATGTTTTCTACGAGAAGTTCTAAGTCGGTTTGCGACCTCTTGCTTGTACCTTTGAACGCCATGTGTTCAAGGAAATGGGCAACTCCATTGTTTCTGTAGTGTTCATACCTGGATCCGGCGTCAATCCACAGTCCTACGGTGGCGGTCGCAGCACCGGAATCTTCAGACGCAACGCGGATTCCATTATCTAACACTGAGAGTTTTGTTGGTGGAACGTTAACTAACGCCTCTTTGTAACCAGCGGCTGTCGCCAATAAACGCACCTGATTGCCCTGTCTTGAGATTAATCTCAAAGTATTCGCCACCTTCAACATTTTTGATGTGATTTTGATCCTTTTCTATTGTAAATTTTTGCTCGCAGATTTACGTAATAAATGGGCAATAGTTCCGAGACGTCAAAAAAACGATGAAGGCGAGAAGGAATGTTGTCAGCATCAAATATTTCAAAAATACCAATTCCTTCCTTTTGTTTCTTGTATTTTTCCTTTTCAGTTTCAATCTAAATTAAAAATAAAATTTATCATTTTAGCTTGCCGTTTAGATGTTATTGCGTACATATACGAAGGAAATATTTGGCATTTTGGCATTATTTGATTTATTTATTACTAACAATGTTGGTCAGTTTAGTAATATTTTCTACCAAGTGGTAATCAATTATTCTTACAAACATTGTATATCGAAAAAAAAAAATTCTACCAAGCGCCGAGCAGTATATAAAAAAAAATAAAGTTACATATTTAAAATATGTTTAAAATCGTATGATTGATAAGTGAAGATTACCTTATTTTTATTGATGAGCTTAGTATTAAATTAACTGAATACATTTAAATATGTTGCAACTCTCTAAGGAGTCAAGTCTAGAGAGTACTAGAGATACATAATACACCGAATGGTATAAATTATAATACTGTATGTTACCATTACGAAAGATACCGTAAGATACTATTACCATTTCTTACGGTGCCAAACAACACCACAATAATAATATTTTGTAAAACTAAATTTTTCCTGTTGAAAGTGTCATAGACGAAAGTAGTAGTAGTGGTTTTACACCTTCTTTGAGGTATTTTTAAAAGCTATTGAATAATTAAGATATTGGGTGACGTTACAAAATTTTTAAAGTCATTTAAATTCAATTCATTTCAAAGTCAAAGTCAAAATCATTTATTTCAATTAGACCAGGATGGCACTTTTGAACGTCAAACAACAAAAATTTATAAGTGAAGCTAGTTGCTCATTCCAAGGCGTAGATTCCTATGGAGAAGAACGAGCAAGAAACTCCATAGGTTACTCTTTTTCAATCAGGTTTACAATACAATTCTCTAGTTACATAGTTTTATTGGTTCGATTATGTGAGAACAATGCAACACCCAAATCCAATCAGAAAGACTGAAAAAGAAAATAACCTTGAGGATAATAAAATAAAAAGATACAGTCTGGAGCTGACCAGTTCCAATCGACGGTGCCCGTTCACGAACATTTTGCGAACCCTAGCACCGCCCAACTCAAACATTTTGTAGGGAATCGAGCGATCCAATGCACGTGCCACCGCCAACGAGATCTTTGAGTGAGCATGACAACTCCAAGCTGACTAGAACTGTTTATAATATAAGTAGCTGTTACCCGCGGCTTTGCTCGCGTCACAAAAGGATAACTAGTAGCCTATGTGACATATAACGATATACACAGCGCCATCTATAACAATACTTTTGTTTTCCCTTGGGAATATCAAATATTTCCGGGATAAAAAGTACCCTATTATTTAATCCGGACTTCTAACTTTATGTCTGCAAAAATTCAAAGCAATTGGTTTAGTAGTTACGGCGTGAAAGCGGAACAAACAAACAAACTCACTTTCCGATTTATAATTAGTAAGGATAAGGATATAATAAAAAAAAAGTAAATCAAAATATAAAATACCAATCTTACTGTAAGTTATAGTATTAATTTGGTAAGATACTGATATAATATCGGTAATATTATTACACGCTGCTCGGGCCTATTGGTATTATACGGTAGTTTTACAACACTAGTCAAAACAAGGCAAAAGTCCGTAATGTATCTACATCTCTATTTGTGACGTCATTTTTGCTGTTCCTTTTTACGCTCGTGTTGAAGATAACTTTTTCAAACAGGTTATGTCGCGAGTTTTTCTGAAATCTTATCAAACCTTTTTATTTGATTACCTAATCACATCAAAGTAGTGTTCGAAGAGAAAATCACGTCAGTGTCATTATTTTACTTAGTATTTACGTGTACAAGCAAAATAATCTTTTTCAAAATTAACAAACCTGTTAAATTACGGGAAAAGGAACGGCATGTTCAATTACTCTGGAAATCGTTCATTTTTTATCGCACGTAATTCGTGGGATTATTACGAGAGCAACGATGTTTAGTGAAGATTGTGTTAAATTCAGTTTTGTCAAAGATTTCTGGGAAAGTGTGTGCCGGTAATACGCAGGTGTTGACGGGGTCCCCACAAGATGCTATCAAAAGTTGTAACTGTGATTTAGTAAATTCGTCATGTCTACAATGAAGAACCCTACTTCGTCGTCTTCTAAGGCATTGTTTAGCCACATCAAGTACGAGCACCTGGTAGCTGGTATATCAGGTGGCGTGACTTCCACACTCATATTGCACCCTTTGGATTTAATTAAAATTAGATTTGCTGGTGAGTACTAAGATTTATTTCACGTACGTAATTACCATGTGAGGTCTCGTGATTTTATAAGGTTAAATATTATCGATTCACTTTCTGAGAACATGCGACTATAGCTCGTGTCGAATGACTGATAATACCTAGTTATTAAATTAATCTTTAGTTATTATTAAACCTTTGGTGATGTCAACCTTGAACTTCATGCAGTGAAAGTGAGGACGAGACAACTTTGTTTACATTGCACAGATAATCATGGTTTATGGATTAAGAACTTCTTGGAACTTAAAACTGAATAACTAATTCCTTTCACTATTTCTGAATATTTAGTCAGGTTACTGTGCATAAAATGTAAACTTATCTATGCTTTTGTGCTATAGACTAGCCCTTTATTTAAAACTCAAACTTACTCCCTATTTGAATTTATAGAAAGTAACAACCACAGATAAAACTTAAAATAAAAGGGCTTGTAGAATGCCTGAATGATTATTCATCATCCTCATCATCATCATCCTTAGGTTTAATGTAATTTCTATTAACTCGTTGAGTACCGTATTTATAGACACAATTAAAGAACAATAGGTTGCGGTCACCGGTGACCGCTTGGTGTTTGACAGTTTAAATAAATATGGCACAAAACTTGTGTTAATTGATTTAACAGCAATTTAATCAGACATTGAAAAATAGGCCCTGAATATCAGAAGAACTCTGATGAAAGTGTCTTTATACACTTTCTCTTTTAATGGATACATTTACTTTGTAATTGTTACAACTGTTACTTAGAATATAATTTCATTAAGTCTGCTGTTTATTTATCTACTAGTTAAATCATGTCATTTTTTCAATGAGTATTGCTAAAAACTGTAAACATAAAAGGGCATTTTTGCATACCAATTGATTTATGAATATTACATATTTTTCTATTCATTGTATCATGTAAAAATCATACAATTCTGTTCAGTAAAAACACTTGGCATAACATTAAAATACAATGTTAATATTAAACTGTCAAACACCAAGCGGTCACCGGTGACCGCGACCTATTGTTCTTTAATTGTGTCTATAAAACCGGTACTCGACGAGTTAATATGTAAATTATGTTGAACTTATAATTATATTCAGAATAGAGCATAGCAAGTAAAAAAAAAGAAAAACATAAAAACTAATGCACCTGCATTAGTAAAATAATAAAAAAAATAAAGAAAAAACTGTGTGGGTTGTCTATTTCTATTTCATGAAATAATGGAACCTACAAATAAATAAAACAAAATCAAGAGAACCATTTTCATAGTCATTTTATTTTACTTAGTTACCTATTTCAAATTTCTTTGTCAGTCAGTTCAGTGTGGTTTGGAATTTGGATATTTGGAGCTAGATTCCTTTTTCATGTAAGAGTTTAGATATTGTGAATAAAATATTTTTAACTTATATTATACCTTAACCTCGCTTACACATAGCATGTAAGCGAAACCGGGGGCCTTGGCTTAGCCGCCCGGGTCAAGAGGTAGACAGCCTCCATAAAAACTTACCCCAATCCTAAGGTGGGAGACGCGCCAATAGGATGAATGGCTGATGGGTGTTCAGTCGCGAGCGCCAACCTCAATGGATCTGGCTCACATTGTTGTATTTGCGCCTTCATTTGGGAATGGGCGTCACCCCATTTGTGACCTGTTTAATCGACCCTACTCGTGGGAACACTATGGAAAATAAAGAAAAAAATTACACTGAACCTGAAAAACCTGGAAATAAAATATTAACCCAACAAATTTTTCACAAATCCTTCTTCAATAAAACAAGAACTCAGTCACTCAATAATCTAGACAATCTCGCAACACCAAATATGGATGTAGAACCTGAAATACCCAGAGAAGAAACTGACCGATGGACAAAAGTACCTGAACGGAAAAGGCAACGTGAAAGCCCCGATTCAAATAAACCCCAAAAACAAAAAAAGCTAGACTCATACTGGCTGAGCCAACCTACACCAACCTCCAATAGATTTTCTGAGCTGGAAAATGATGCGCAAGAATCCACACCCAATGAAAATATAGAAAAGCCCATCAAGGCCCCACCTCTATACGTGGACCGGGTCAGTAATATACAACCATTACTCAGAATGCTCGATGAGGTAGCTGCAGATAGCTATGAAGTGAAAATTCTTCGTAATGAACAAGTCAGAATTCAGCCAAAATCGACTGAACTATTCACGAAAATTGTAAAAAACCTGCAAGATAGAAATACAGAGTTTTATACCTACCGGCCCAAGCAAGATCGATGTTTCAAAGTTGTTTTAAAAAATCTCCACCCGTCCTCTGATACAGAAGAAATTAAAGCTGAATTAGAATCGCAAGGACATATGGTCACAAATATCTGGAACGTCAAGCAACGAAGTACTAAAAAACCACTGCCGATATATTTCATTGAAATAGAACCTAACACCAATAATAAACTAATATGACATCAAAAGTCTTCTCCATTGTAGAGTAACATTTGAACCACCAAGACCGAAGCGTGAAATTCCTCAATGTGGCAATTGTCAACAATATGGGCATACAAGAAAATATTGTTTTAGAAAACCCAAATGCATAAAATGTGCGGGAGACCATGCATCATCCAATTGTGAACGTAGAGAAAGGTCAGATTCAGTTAAATGCGTGTTATGTAATGGCAACCACCCGGCAAACTATAAAGGATGCTCAATATATAAGGAACTTCAGAAAATCAAATATCCCATTCAACCTGCAAAACACCGACAAACTGGAAGCACCAAATACCTATCAGAGAGGGCGGACTCTACTAAACAAGAAACGCAGTCATCGTACAAGCAAGCGTTATTGACTAATAAACCCCCACACCCAACTACTTACAAACCAAATGCAAATGAAGTACCGAATAATGACATAAAAGAAATTATGAAAAACATGACACTACTAATGCAGCAATTGACTTCAATAACTAACCTCCTAATGGAAATTATGACCAAATTCTCACATTCTGCTCATTAAAAATTGCTCTTTGGAATGCCAATGGGCTGTCACACCATGTCTTGGAAGTAGAGACATTTTTGAAAATAAACAAGATAGACATTCTGCTCGTATCTGAAACACATTTCACGACAAAGAGTTACCTCAGAATCGCCAATTACCAACTCTATCACACAATGCATCCAGACGGTACGGCACATGGAGGATCCGCGATTCTCATTAAGAAAAATATAAAACACTGTACGGTTTACGTACATTCGTGTCGCGACATCAAGCTAAGTAAGCATATCGGTCGTTTCACTTAGTTCGTAACAATTATTAAAACGGTCTTCAGTGTGTGTACAACTGCCAACGCAACACAAGCGTATCTGTGAGAATCATTAAAACTATTACTAAACTGTAACTGGTGAACTATTACTAAACTGTAACTGGTGAATAATAAACCTTCTATATAACCAAGTGAAGAGTATTCATTCATCACCACACTCAACAATCAACTCAACCAACTGAAACCAACTAACGGTAGTGTACGGGCAAACTAAACCCGTACAAACACCATGAAGCGAAGCCATTTCAAACCCCTGAGATTCAAGCAACAAGTGTTGTAATAGAAGACTGGCGGGGATACTTAACGGTCACAGCACTGTATTCTCCTCCAAAACATGCCATCAAAAAGGAAAATTACATCACCTTCTTCAAGACACTAGGACCACGATTTATAGCTGGTGGAGACTATAATTCCAAAAATACTTCCTGGGGCTCACGCTTAACTACTCCCAAAGGACGCCAGCTACAAGCAGCTATAAACGATCTACAACTAGATGTAGTATCAAACGGGGAACCAACCTATTGGCCGACAGACCCAAAGAAAGTGCCCGATTTGGTAGACTTCAGTGTCATTAAGGGTCTTCCTACTAACAATTTTAAATGCATTTCCCTTCAAGATCTTTCATCTGACCATAGCGTGATTTTACTCGAATTCTCCCATAAAATTTCGTCTGTTAAACCTACACCTAAGCTACACGGACGTAAAACCAACTGGGACAATTTCCGCTTAATGGTAGAATCAACGATAAATACCAATATAGCACTTAAAAATGAAGTGGACACAATGGCAGCAGTGGAACACTTCAACGAGTGTGTCCAACAAGCAGCTTGGGATAGCACACCTGCCCCTAAGAAATATTCAAAACCAGATTGCTCAAAAGCTGTTAGTGAACTAGTGGCCGAAAAGAGACGGGCTAGAAAACTATGGCAAATTACCAGATTCCCCAAGGACAAATCACGTCTGAACAACTTATCAACAAAACTTAAAAAACTACTGCAAGTTGAAAGAAATGATATTGTACAGAATGAGCTAAGCCATCTCGATGCCACGGCTTCTAGTGACTACTCCCTCTGGAAAGCGACCAAAAAACTTAAAAGGCCTATTGCCTCTAACCCACCAATACGCAAAAGGGACGGTTCTTGGGCAAAAAGTGACGAGGAGAAAGGAGAGGCATTTGCCTCTCATCTTGCTGACGTCTTTATGCCAAATTTAACTCAGACTTCATCGAGTATTAATCAGAAAGTAATTAAAGCCCTTAATGAGCCCTATCAACTTGACCTGCCAATAGATAGAATAAAGACAAGCGAGGTTATGGACACAATTAAAAATCTACCTCAAAATAAAGCCCCTGGATATGACTTGATCACTACCAAAATCCTGCGGGAATTACCAAAAGTAGCAGTCCAATTTTTGAGGAACCTGTTCAATTGCATTCTGATCAGGGGAATCTTTCCATCCCAATGGAAGGTTGCACAAATTAAAATGATCCCTAAACTTGGTAAATCTCCTGCGGACGTGTCGTCCTACAGACCGATAAGTCTACTGCCCATCTTTTCAAAGGTTATGGAGATACTCTTTTTGAAACGCTTGAACAAAGTAATAGCAGAAAATAAAATCATACCCGACCACCAATTTGGTTTCCGAAAACGTCACAGCACGATCGAGCAGGTACATAGACTGGTAGAAGAAATACACAGAGCCTTTGAAAATAAGAAATACTGTTGTGCAGCCTTCTTGGACATCTCCCAAGCCTTTGACAGAGTCTGGCATGAAGGTCTCTTATATAAAATAAAAAAACTACTGCCTACAAACTTTTATGTCTTCTTAAAGTCATACCTTGCTGAAAGATACTTTTATGTTAAACAAGGAGAGGACACATCCAAACTTTATAGGGCGCACGCAGGAGTGCCACAGGGGAGCGTACTTGGTCCGATACTGTACCTAATCTTTACTTCAGACCTGCCTATGACAAATGGAGTTGTGATTGGCACTTTTGCTGACGACACTGCAGCCTTAACTACCCATGACGAACCAAAACAAGCAAGTAACATGCTACAACTCTCCCTGGACAACATCACGGAATGGCTCAATACTTGGCGTATAAAGGCGAATGAGACAAAGTCAGTACAGGTGACATTTACGATGCGACGTGGAACATGTCCCCCAGTAACGCTGAATAGGCAACAAATACCTCAAGCAAATGAAACCAAATACCTTGGACTGTATTTGGATCGTAGCCTCACCTGGAAAAAGCATATTTTTACTAAAAGAAAAGCACTGGGAATCCAACTGAGGAAAATGTATTGGATGCTCAGCGGAAAATCGCAGCTATCACTCGAAAACAAACTACTGTTATACAAGAGTATCCTAAAACCGATCTGGACCTACGGAATCCAACTCTGGGGCACTGCCTCAAATTCTAATATAGAAATACTCCAGAGGTTCCAGTCCAAAATGCTGAGGATAATTACTAATGCTCCTTGGTTTATAACTAACCAACAATTACACCATGACCTTAAAATCAGAACGGTTCAAGAAGAGATAAAACAGTCTATGATATCCTACAGAAAAAGGCTCAACAACCACCCAAACACTCTAGCAATGCACTTAATGAATATGAACTCCACATTCAAAAGGCTAAAACGAAAGGCCCCTAGAGACCTGTAAGGGATGAATTCTAAAGGGCCCACGTCGCTGGACTGGTGACCCTACAAGACAAATTAAATTAAACTCTTGACCATGTGCTGAATGTTCGTTAGAGACAGATTGCAGGACAATAAAATCAAAAAAAAAAAAAAAAAAAAAATTATACCTATCCCTGACTTGATAATACATTGCTAAATTCTACATTACTTCATATCAGGCTTTTGTTTTCACTACTAAGTAAAATATAGGAAAAACATACCATCTTAATCCTACAATAATTTCCGTAAATCAGTAGATGTAAACTGGAATAGTGATTTATCAATTGGGGATTGCAGAAAGGTCACCAAAGGTAAACAATTTGAGGAAGTTGTGTCTAGCTATGTTTTGATCATTCAATAATCATTCAGTTTTAGGGTTTCATTGACAAAGTAATGCAAGTTTCTCCAAGAACACAAATGTAACCATTCTCTATTGTTCCAGTTAACGACGGCAGGACCGCAACAGTTCCTAGGTACGATGGGCTCGGGAGTGCATTTGTCACTATTGTTAAGAAGGAGGGAGTGAAAGGACTGTATAGAGGCGTCACACCTAACGTTTGGGGATCAGGCTCCGCATGGGGCTTCTACTTTTTATTGTAAGTACTTTTTTAATTATTCTGATCATTTTTTAGGGATTGACTGTCTACTTCTTGTGTAGACGTGTCATACTAAAATAAAGTAGTTAATCCTTAAGAATAGGTACTGAGGTGTCTTTCATATTGGATTCATGGTTTCAGGAATAAAACATGTTGTGTTTGTGTGAGTTCACTTGTACCACTTCATTGTTACAGTGTGTGTTATATATATCCACATGTTAGGCCTTAAGTGTAGATTAGAATCACCAACCAGATTCCACTAATTACCAAAAAATAGTTTATTATTAACTTAATTGGCAAAATATATACATATTTTGTATAATATATTTTAGACATACTCTCTCTCGTTTCATATATTTCAAACATACTCTCAATTCTCATTCATAATATATTTTACCCATACATTTAACTACAACCAACATGTACTTAGTAACACAAACACTACTAGTAAACTATTTCACATAAATAGAACACTGTTGGTGACTAATTTATTGTTACAGTTATTTAATTGCCACTAAACGCTAATGTTTATTGTTTGCCAGATTTCACTAATGTTGATTCTTAACAGCTGATTAAATAATACATTTAATAAGTAATTGAATTGTTTTTAAAAGTTTGTAAACAAGTTCTTTTATTGTTGAAAAAGTGATAATATTGAATATGACATGGTTGTATAAAATAGAGACACTTAGGTTTAATCTGTATTTGAAATCAACAAAATATTTCTAATGGGTATGCTTGTTAGTATTTGGAATGGTATTTTTAATCTTGCAACACATATGTTGTGAGTTACCGATTTCTGGGTGGTGTATGGCAAGAAGGTTTGGAGGGTGACCCCATAATGATCATACCTTTTCTTCCACCACCTTCTTGCGTTGGGGTTTAAATATAAATCTTGCATGTGTTACGATTTACCTTAACATATTTTGCAATATCTCGACGCCCGACTTCCATTTTACGCAGCTGGGGGTATAGAAAATTAACAACACACGTTTTAAAGTAAGTCAATAACACATGAATGATAACTGTTCAACACCTATACATATATCTATCACGTGGCTAGAGGTGTGTTATCTCCTCAAACATACATACGTTGTACTGACGCTAGTTTGGCCCTTGTACTTTATATTACGCGATTCAAGTTAGCAAGCCTAGCCAATTTTCGGGCAGACGTCCAAACTCGTGTAACTTAGAAATTGTCATAATATAATTTAAGTAAGAGATGATCAGTGTATGATGTAAGGAAATCAATACATAGTATAAAACAAAGTCGCTATCCGCCGTCTGTATGTCTCTATGTATGCTTAGATCTTTAAAACTAGGCAACGGATTTTGATGCGGTTTTCTTTAATAGATAGATTTTATAATGTATAATACATGTGTAGGTATTGCACCCGCGCGAAGCCGGGGCGGGTTGCTAGTTGTCTTTAATTCGCTATAATTCGCAAGTGGTGGCGCTAGTGTATATTTTGGTCTCTTTGATACTCGCAGTTTATCGTGCTTGTTGATTTTTTTTCACACATGTTTTGTAAGCGGTTTCCCAAAATTCGCGATGATTAAACATTGAGTTTACCCATCAATGTCTGGTCGAAGATTTATTTTGTATGTAAATAATGACTTAGTCTTGAAGAAGAAACATTGGAACAATGACAGTCATCGACCGGTTAACCCTCCAACGCGTCAGACCACGTCAGACCAATAAACTGAAGTGTGTATTGAAACTAATTTCAAGAAAAATAATCTTGAAACTTCTTTACTAGCGGCTGGCACGTGCATTATGCCTTTGTTACATTGTGTACACAGTTACGTCAATGTTTATTTAAAATTCCCTCGCTTTACATAAGTGTATGTCCTAAGATCAACACTGTAATAACACTATGTACCTATTACGTTTACCAGTGGGCTAGGAAACCCATAAAGAGTTTTCTTCTCTGCAATCAAAAAGGTTATATCTGTTCCTTTTTGTGCAGGCATTTTTTTTTTTTGCATTTTCGAAGATAGAACTAATTGTCTACAAAATAATTGTGATTATTTTAATAGACAGAATTTCATCACTTTTCATGAGCTGTCTACGTGTTGGAAATTGGCAAGATTTCCAAATTCATGATTTGGTACAAAGTTCGCTCGTTAAAATGGAAGCGTATTGCCCGCCCCCTTCCGCTACAGTTTCACTGATTGTCAAACATTTACATTTGAATTTAGAACTTCTCAATTGCCAGTTTCAATTTTTTTAATTTCCAAGTGACAGATATTGTCAAGCTTAAACTTGATGCATGCACCTCATTTGTGTTAAAATTAATCGCCCAAGGAGGTCGTAGTTGTTACGATTTCATGCAAAAAGATTGCCATGTTATCGCGCTTATGTAAATATTGAGATAGACCCACTGAACTGAACGTAGCAGATAAAGCCAATAAGATAAGAGTTAGTAAACCAAATCTTTACACACGAAAATATTATCTAAGTTGTGCGTTATTATTATGTGCAGTCGTACAGATTTATTTCATTGGCAAAAGATTTAAAGATATTTAGTAGTGAATATCAAATAAAAATGACTAATAAACTGTTCGAACACAAACATAAAGCAAATAGATATAAACAATACATACACAAACAATATTACCATATAAAGAGGTTGAATCAAACGTAAGGCCGTAAATCATAGACAATCTCGCGGAAAATCATCACCTCTTTCCACATTACCTTTCATTTCGCAAATTATCACATACGAACGGTAATCCACGATCTTTCCTACGCACGTGTTACTCATTGTTAATCAAAGTAATTAACGATAGCGATAAATAATATTTCTCCATTGTTATTACATAAGCATTCTGTCTGTATGTCTCATTGAAGAACGATTTGTTGTAATTATAAAATAATTGTTGTGATGTGACTTTATGACCGTGAATGTACTTATTACGATCTCTTTGGTATCGATCTGTATATTGATAGTCGATAAATGTAGGGGAAGTCTTTGAAGTAAATAGAATTTCCGTACAATGTCTCTTTTGGATAGGAACTAACTTGCCTTGTATCATGGTCGTACTATTTGTGGTATATTTGCGGAAGTAACTAGTAGCATTAGCTTGCTTTAAAGCAGCCATTCTTGTGTTTAACCTCAGATTAGTTTTACATAATATATTTAATGAACTGAAAAACTAAGATCAGTTCAGTTCAGTTCAGTTTCATGATTAGATAATCATAGAAATTCATTTGTCCAAATCACAAAACAGTTACGTTTAGTTTGTAATGGCAATGGAATTACTTGATGTCTAAAACAACGAAAGCAAAAGAAAATGTACGTTGTAAAACATTTCATAGTTATGTAGATTTCTTATTTTAAATATTTTATTTAAACGATAGCGCTGTGTTATTGATGCAAATTGCAACCAAGTGTTTTGTTTATGGAATAAATTGACGTATAGTGCAAATGTACTTGCATCTACTTACAGCCACACGTTACTAGGTACGTAAATACGGTATATAATGCATAAATATGTCCATATGCGCGAAGGTAAATAATGCAAGTATTGGAATTTATGGCGTCACAAAGCGTGAATATCGATCACGTTTCCTCAAATCAATTGTTCCGCTAAATATTTCCAGATACTACAAATCTTTGTGGTTATCTGCAAATAATGTTTATCACATGTTTAATTACCTACGATGTTTTTTGTTTAGATAATCTATGGGCGCATGTGGTATAGTTTATTTTTCCTGTGTCCCTGAATTGCCGTTGTTCTGCAAGTCGTCATTAGCGAGTTTAAAGTTTTAAATTGTGATAAGTTTTAATCCTATTGTTTACCTGATTACGTCTCCATATCGGTGTTAAAATTAGCTATAGCCTACGATGTTTTTATAATAACTATCGTGAGACATAAGTACTAAATTAAGTAAAATTGCGGGTTACTCACATGAATATACTGAGACAAGCTCTACTAGTTTCGAACCACAGAGGGGTTCTTCCTCATGAGCAGCGTGCGCGGTCGCGGCGACGTCGCGCACGCACGTGAGTAACCCGCGTTTTTACTTAATAGCCTACGATCGCTGGTAATTTTCATCGGCGACTGCCAGTCTGGTTAGACTACACGTTTTTTGTAAGCTTATCAAGATTAGCGATCAGCAATATTAGCTTATTGATTTTTTTGTAGTTGTACTGTCCTCGAAATTAAATTGTTAGACGCTGAGATCCATCATCAGTCTGTCTTCTTCCACGTCTCTAATGGCATGCCACTGTACTCGATCTTTAGCTCTACCCTTCATCACTGGTTACCAGCCACCTTACCGATATTAATGATATTAAACACTGAACAGCTGTAATGCTATAATATTTACCAGAAAATTACTCAAAGAATGTTTAAAAATGTACCTTCTATTAATGTGTATCTTATAATTTATCCTGTATATTTTAACCCGTCGTGTGTATAAACGTGGATCCCCGCGAGACACAATGTATGTGGTCATAAAAGCGGTTAAATATCTCTCGAAGACATTATGACGCCTTATTGAATTACCCATATTGTACCCTCTTAAGTACAATCACTGTTAGGATAATACATTTTTCATTTTCATTTCTATCATCATAACATCGTATCTCCATACGTGTGTCGTCTGCAGAAACTCCCATTTAAGAACACAAATGCACTTACTCATTGCAATTTGATTCGGAATGTGTAATTTGGCATTGTGTCAACTCTCACTTAGGTACGTATCTGATGTACGTCATAATGCCCTTCGTTCTTTCAACCATAAGTAGTAGTAATAGGTTCTTTGTATTTTTTGGAAGCTAGCCTAAATTAAGGTCTCTATTATGTGGGTGGGGCTATAAAATCATAACTTATTTAATAGAAAGATCTTTAGATCTTCACATTCACATTCAGAGGTTTACCTCTTCAAAGTCAAAACGTCATGGATTTTGATCAGTCATTTAAATATTAGGTACTATATTGTCGTTTAAGCATCCTCCTTAACCAGTAACCTCTCATTTTCCTCATCCGCGTTGGTGTTGCATGAAAATCACACATGCGTTAGCTCACGTGCCACTTTGTGAAAACTGCCAAAACAAACATACGTGTCAGCGTTTAATGGGTTAATTTCGATTTAGAATTCTTCTATCGTTTTGCTGTAGTTACTTATAGTTTTTCAAGAGCACTGTAAGTGTAATTGAGGAAATTTTTAGCTATTTTTAGTTAGCTTGTTAAAAGTTTACTTTAGACCGTTTTTTCTTTGATAATAATTACGAAAATAAATTTACAATCATACTTAACTCATTTCGTTTTCATTGTCTTTTTACGAGATTGCGGTCTCATATGTACACGGTGTTCAATAAATGAAAAACCACAATATCATTTAATATGTAAATTATATTCATTTCATTTGCAGAAATACAATAAATATTATTGCATTTCATATCATGTACTTCGTATTGTCCGCAGTTATAACGCAATAAAAACATGGATCCAAGGTGGGAATGCGCGTACACCGCTCGGTCCTGGCCTGCACATGCTGGCTGCGGCAGAAGCTGGAGTACTGTCCCTTGTGATGACCAACCCCATATGGGTGGTGAAGACCCGTCTCTGTCTTCAGTACAGCGGGGAACATCTGGCTGAGCACAAACGGTACAAGGGCATGATCGATGGCCTCATGAAGATCTACAGGACCGAAGGGATCCGGGGACTATACAGAGTGAGTACTCTTTTTGTCATATTTTGTAGAGATGCAACGAAATTCGGTATCCGGGCGCCGAATATTCGGCCGACAGTGTGATACCTACATTTTGAGTTTCGTAGGTGCGTGTCGCGTACCGCCACGCCGGTGTCCGGCCGAATAGTAAATAACGGCCGGATAAGCCGGATAGTAACCGAATATTCGGTGCATCTCTAATATTTTGTGACCTTTTCGGTTTCGTCCTTAACTTTCTTCGATATTTAAAGCTCATATTGGATCCGGTCTAGCTGTTCTTGAGTTTTAGTCGGATTAACGATAGTTTCGTCTGCTGCAGAACAAATCGTGAATATTATATTATTAGATATGTCGTGCGTGACGTCATCAGTAATTTGTATCGACTACCGGTGAAGATATTGTCGATAAATACAATAGATAGTCGTCTGGGTCATAGATTTCGTTGCTAAAATGATGATATCGTTTCTGAAATGGACTCGGGAAGTTACAAAATGGATTAATTTATTACCTTTCATAATTGATTTTCACGATTTTACTTCATCGTCGTGTTTTCATTCAGTGGTAGTAGCAATACGATTTCATTCGAGGTGTTCTGCTTTGATTTTAGGAACGTAATTATAAAATTGACAATCAACCAGTCTATGAATGACTCATAAAATAATACACCCACTATTCCCCATACACATAAGTCCCATGACATTATGTAGCATCTGTTGCCATGTACTATCAATACCACTACCAGACACCGTTCCCTAATTGATATAAAAAATATATGCGACAAAAACCCACTAAAACTCTTTTATCAAACGCATAGCAACTGTAAATTGATTTTAGTCCCAAGTTACGTATAAATGTATGTATTTGTATGCAATATAATCAGGTTGACCGCATGCCCGATAAGATTCGAGTCGCGTCAACTCGCGTCGCTACGAACTAGAAAATCACGTGCAAATCAGCTGCGAATGTTGCCCCGATCTAGATATTGTCCGTTACTATTTTCCTACTTAGTTTTAACTATGAAAATGGAACTTTATGGCTTTGATATTAGGTTGTATTTATTAAAACCTGAGTAATTGCAATACACCTATTTTCCCCCAGTGTTTAGTTCAATTTCTATGTAATAGAGGCTTATTGTCATTTATGACAGATTCAACTAGTTTTAGTCCTTATTTCACACTTCACTGAGCAACTGTATTTATATACTAAACTAGCAAACCCGGCGAACTCCGTTTCGCCACCAGATGGCTTCGTTTTATGTAACATTCTTTGCTATAAACTTCACGGAGCCCGAGACCTTTCCAACGAATGCAAAACCGTGGAAATCGGTTCGTGCGTTCTGGAGTTATAGCGCCAGGAAGGAAAACCCGACTTTTTTTTGTATAGTAGACTATAAAATCATGTAGACAATATCCTAGGCACATGCACTCTTCTTTAAAATGTCTGCAACACACTTGTAACTCTCCTGTCGTGTTCCGATGAGTGACGCTACTGATCACACTTATCATCAAGTGACACGGCTGTTTGTTTGACCCTATCTCTTAAAAAATCTACAGACAAGGAATCATGTCACTAAATGAAATGAAACGATATTTATTTCTGCAAATACGTTACAAAGTAAAAAAAATTCACGCAAATCTTAAATTACTAGATGAGGGCCGACTAAAACTGTCGAGTTTCTAATATACTAGCTACTTCCGCACGGTTTCACACGCTCTGCTCAACTCCTATTGGTCGTAGCGTGGTGTTTTATAGCCTATAGCCATCCTCGATAAATGCACTATCCAACACAAAAAGAATTATTCAAATCGGATTTGTAGTTACGGAGATTAGGGCGATCAAACAAACAAACAAAAAGACAAACTCTTCCGCTTTACATAATAGTATAAGATTAATTTACTACCACGAATGTTTACAGCGTAAATCAGAATTGAGGAAGAGGAATCGGTTTTTCAAAATATCAATAAAATATTGATGTTTTATTTATTTGTCTATTTATCAATATTACCATTTTAGGCTACGTCATTTACTTATAAGATAAATAATCGGATGATGGTGTGATCGATTGGTCTTGTGATATCAATGGCCTAAAATATTCAAATCTGTATTGATTCTTCTGTACTGATAAATAACATTACCTACTGGCAAAATAAATGTTTACACAAAATATGTCTGCCCTTGGCAGATTAATCTAGCTTGGAGTTATTAAGTGGAGCTTATTATTAATAATGCAATGTCTCAATATCTTTTCATATATTGTTATTGATTAACTTTGTGTTCCAAGTCAATCTTCATTCGGTGAAGCGTTATCAAAATCAATACAGTTGTTTTCGAGATTAGTCTACACATACTTACTCGTACAGATACGCTAAATATAACAGTAACAGTTAGGTAGGTATTACGCAAGTAGGAATGATTCACTAGTTGTCGACTGTAATCCCACGTCCTTAAGTTCGATTCTGCTGAAGAGCAAATTGTACGGAATGTCATCTCATTACTGTCCATTTTCGAAATTTTTAGATTTGTGCCCGGTATCTATGTTTATTAGGACTCATAACATAACAAATATATATTACCTGTAGTCTCGTTTAAAATTTTGGGACCCTCGGCTTTAACGACTAGGATAACCACAGTAACAGGGTGATGACAAATGTATTATAATCTGTACCAACACATATTAGATTATTTGTATTGTAACTTTCGTGAGACATACTAAATAAATTATTATATTTTCGGCTTACCCATGTAATAATTTGACGAGAATCTCGACTAGTTTCAAGCCATGCTAGAGGCTTCATTGAGGCATTCATGAGCAGCATTTCGCGACCCGCGACGCGGTGACTGTCGCGCTGCTACTAGATCCCATTAGATTAATAACTGATTGTAGTCCTACAAAGTGGAATTTTATCCACAAACAATTTTCCAAAGTACTCAACCTTTTTTTAATAGATTCAGCTACAGGCTGTATGATTTTATTGTCCTAAGGGTTATTTTCTTTTTCGATCTCTGACTGGATTTTGGTGTTACATTGTTCTTACAAAATTGAACCAACAAAACTATGTAACTAAACATTGTATTGTGAAGCTGATAGTCACGGAGAACCTAACGGGTAACCGGGGCTCCGGCTCGACGTGCAGGAGGAGGAACGAGGTGGTTTTTAGTCAGTAAGAGTCTGACAGGCGGGAGGGACCCGCCTCACCCAGGCGGCGGGAGCAGTCATTCGATAATTTTCCCCCTTAAAAAAAAAATAAAAAAATTGTGAAGCTGATTAACAAAATAGTAACCTATGGATTTTCTTGCTCGTTCTTCTCCATAGGAATCTACACCTTGGAATGAGCAAATAGGTTTATTAAAATGTTTTTTTGATGTTCAAAAGTGCCTTCTTGGTCTAATTGAAATAAATGATTTTGACTTTGACTTTGATTCAATTATGCAACCTGATTATTTAATCATAAAGATAAAGATAAAGATAGTTTATTTGCAAATATGGGTAATACAATTTGTGGTGTTTAGGTATATTGTACATGTACATACGTACATACATCCCGATCAATTATTCGTATTATGTAAAACAAAGGACTGTTATGTATTTATTTGTATGCGGCGACTATTCTATGTAGTTACATACCTAGTTATATGTAGATATCTACTGTCACGTGCTGCCGTCCTACTAAATATATGTATACTATATTATGTTTGTATGAGTAACCTGCTTGACAGATGTGTGTGGTAAACTAAATGTTTCCTTTATTGTTTAGGCTTATTTTATTCAAATTGGTTTTCCGCCGGACAACCTCATTGGCCGAGTGGACGCAAGTGCGACTGCCTAAGGTTTCGGGTTCGATTCCCGGGTCGGGTAATATTTCTGAGTTTTTAAAAAAAATTGTCAGTAGTAGCACGATGTCTGGAAATGTGCCCGGTATATGGCAATATAGTCATCACCTTTTACATTGGACTCATAACATAGATAGTGAAAAGTGGGTGTTACATTGTACAGTGGCATTAAATGCCGTAAATGTGCACCTGTGCCTACCCCTTCTGGGATGTTATGTTATGGTTTTCCGCCTGCGGCTTCGCCTGTATGGATTTAAGATTTCTCTCCACGAGGTCTCGATTCTGTAGGAATGTCTGGATAAAAAGTATTCTATGTTACTTCCTGAAAAATTTTCCACTTGTAAAAAAAAAGGTCGAATAGTTTCGAAATCTATTCAATGCTTAAATAATAAAATCTTTCCTCCTTATTGTTTGTTTGGTTTTTGTTAAGATCCATTTTTCTTGTGTAAGTTGTATTAATGTCAGCTGTTAGATTCTATTGCTTAAGATTTTCCTTAATTTTTTGTTCGATGTAGATCGTGCAAGCCATTATGCAAAGCATCATGATTTCAACCAACTAAACTTTAAAAAAAATAATAAGCGGACAAGAGTCTACTAATAGTTGTACATTTAGTTTGTTTCTGTCTTACCTTTTTTTTCCATTAGTCATTTGTAACTTGTAGTCGTCTACTGGTCGTTAAAAACTCTTTATTGACTTCTAGCTGACCCGAAAACCTTGATACCATAACGAACCTTTTCGCACCTTTGAAACCTTCCCTGGACTTCCACAAATATTTCAAGACCAAAATTGGCCAAATCGGTTCAGTCGTTCTTGAGTTTTAGCCATTTTAAATTATATAAATTTATATTACCTACTGATTTCCAATACACCTGTTCATCAATAACAGTTACTCAAAATCGTTCCATCGTCATGAATAATTCACTCTCCATCGATTTCTTTTATTTTACCTATCTATGTAACACCGCCATTAAAGTATCGATCCGTTCAAGGACCTTAGAACATTTGACGTCATTACTCTATTATACGAGATTGAAGTTGATAGCTCAATCATTAGGTGTATTGATTGTGTGCATAGGTGAGTCAGCTAAGTGGTTAGGTACTATCATAATGGAGCTTTAATCCCGTCCTTCAGCTTCAATATCAACAGCCTTTGAGCTCACTGCTGAACTAT